ATGCCATACTTAATTTTGTAGTATTGAAAAACACTAAATATTTTTTTTACTGATTGCAAATTGCAGTTTTATTACTTGTCGTTTGGTATCTATTCTTCCAAACACTGTGTAATTCGCGTTTTTTCAAATATTGCCGTTATGTATGTCTATTAGATTATCTCAATAAATGAATGGAAATTAGTAGTCTTATTAAATTTAAGTATATTCATTAACTTAAGTAAGTATATTAAGTAAGTCATTTAAGTATGGTATATCATATGTAAGTATATTCTTCGCTACATTTATGTGCTTGTGATAACAAGAAATCCTAATAAACAGAAACAAATGTTCCTCGTGTGCTATTTAACTGATACTTACTTTAACGTACTTAGCTTGCTATTACTACATTATTTAAATTATTTCTGTAGTATCAACGAAAGTTATTGATTATAAAAGTGCCTGAAATGATCATTGTATCTAGCAGTATTCTAAAATGTGGAAACTAAAATAGGTAAATAAATTTACCATGTGATCGAAAGAAATTGGTTTTTTTAATATTTAATTACGGCAAAGCACACTAGGGCTATCTGCTTAAGGAAAAGGATGCCTTCGTGGAGGACTTTCTACGGGAAACTGGCGCGTATACACGTTACACATGGGGAAAACCACGAAAACTCGAAAGAATTGGTGTTAAGAAATATCAGCATTACTAGTAAATACTGCAATCCATAATTATTGCACTTTTAATTGCTTTTATTTAAAAAATCACAATTTTTTTATTAAATGAAAATTTTAGTTCGGTTACCTTCCTACCTATTTATACTTTCAAACACTACTAGTTCAGTTATTTCTTAAATAGTTGTCATGTATGTGTTTGTAAGGTTATTATTTCATTTAGCTATGAATATGGGAAGTTTTCGATTTTAGGTATATTTTGTATTAATATTTTGATCACATTTATTAATACTTTATACTGTATTTCATTTGCATATCTTGGAGATTAGATGTTAATGGTTATATTTTTACTGTGAAACGCGAATCATTTATACTGAGTTCAGTCAAAATGCTGATATGTTACTTAAAACCGCTTCTAATTTATCATGACAGGGGCATTTTCAATGTCTCGAGATATAACAGAAAAATGTGATAATTCGTTATCAGAAGCTCTTTTTTACCCACATATATATCTTTTACTTATTTATGAGAAAAAATGGAATTTATTAAATAAATTTATTTATAAATTAAAATTAAATTTGAACAATTATAAATATTTTGCGCCATTGTGCAAGGGAAAAATTAAATTTAAACAATTAAATTAAATTTTAACAAACACGATAAAGTAAAAAAGCAAATTAAGCCAAATTAAAAAAAAAAATGCCAAAAAAAAAAATTATTAAAAATGTGTAACATATAAAAGAAACAGATTTGTCTCGAACTAATCTACAATATCATTTAAATGCAGAAGCAAGAAATCAAGCAAAAAAACCATGAAAAATAAATTCACGAATTTAGAAAATAAAATAATCAAACAATTTTTTAAAAAGCATAAGTGAATGATGTTGAGCGGCAGGAGACAGCTTATCAAGGGGAAGTTGCCTCCAACTAACTTCTCCAATCATTCATTCGCGTTCGTCATTCATTCAGGCAGGGGAAAGTCAAAACCAAAGTAAAACGAAGAAGGGCCGAAAAAAAGAAAACCAATAAAGGGTACCCTATAAAGGAGCGGGAAGAAGGAAAGGGGGAAAAGGAAAGACTAAGGAAGCTTTTAGAAACAAGCAAGGAAAAGGAGGAAATTAAACGGGGGGGAAAAAACAATTTTTTTAAAAAAATCTAAAAAAAATTAGAAAAAAAACCCTTGCTACAGAACCCCCCGACACGAATATGCATCAATTAAAAAAACTAAAAAAGAACTACACATAATCCATATAAACCAATAGAAAATAAAGAACTAATTCACATTTTTTAAAAAAAACAATATATACTTAAAAATATAATTTCATATCTAGAAATACTTAAATTCTAATAAAAATTAATTAGTTTTATAGTTTCAAACTGTAATGTCGATTCGAATACGAATCAAGATACTATTGAATACCTAGACCTGCAATTATTAAACACAGCAAAATTAAATTATATATAAAAGAAGGAATTTCCATTTTCATATATTAAACTAATTAATTGAACTCTAATGTCTCTAGAAAAGTAAAGAAAACATTTGTCATAGCCAAAAATCAGAATAAAATATGTACTGAAAGACGATTTAAAGGGAGAAAAAGAAGCTAATTAATGTTCAAGTTGATACCAAGTACCCAATTTTATTAATTTATATTAAAAAGGCAGGCATTATTATAATTTTTTTGGGCTCTTTTTGATATGATAAAACATTACCTTAAACCTAGCTGGAGGGTACTTAAAGGATAAAGAAGAGTAAAGAATTATTTGAATTTTTATTGTAAATTTTGTAAATATGCATATTTTAATCAATCTGGATTCTTTCCTTTTAATAATAGGGCCAACTCTTTCAAAAGTCCAATTAGACCGAATTGATGAAGATTTTAATCTTCTCTCTAATTTTCCATACTTAGCTAGTTTTAGTTAAGTTTTGATATACTAGTTAAAATCAAGTTCAGTAAACTTTCATTTTTCTTTCTTTAAATTAACTTCTTTAAGGAATTTTTTGGGAATTACTGGGAATTTTTTGAGGTTTTAGGGACTTCGTTTCACAAAATTTGGAAATGTTTGACATCTTAATTACATTATTGACTTGCAATATTTACAAATTTTTCAACAGAACAAACATTTCACATTACAAACAGTTTACATTTATTAATTCACAATACCACTTTACTCTATTTTACTTCAAGCAAACTTACCTCTCTTGATGGCTAACTCCCAAAAATTTATCGTTAAATTAAAACTTGAGTACATAACTTTAGGATTTTTAATTTAATTTTAATTTTTTAATTTATTTAATATTTTAATATTAATGTTTGCAAAATTTTTATACCACAAAGATAGCAACTTGGACTCACTTTCCTACATAAGCGCATCTATCAATTAATTTTGAAGAAACACACTTCTTTAAAACTCTTTTGCAGACCCCCGCTCATTAGTAGGAAGTTAGAATTAAAACTCTATTTACTTGCTTTAAGTATTTTTTAAAATTTTTTGTGTATTTAAGTATTTGCTAGATATGAAATTATATTTTTAAGTATGTATTTGTTTTTTTTTAAATTGTGAATTATTCTTATGTTTCTTATTGGTTTATATAGATTTGTGTAGTTCTTTTTAGTTTCTTTTTATTGATATGATATTCGTGTCGGGGGTTTTGTGACAAGGGGTTTTCAAAATACATTAGTTTCTAGATTATTTTTTAAAAAAATGAATTTTTTAAAAATTTGGTTTTTTAAACAGTTTAATTTAATACTTGACTTTACTGCTTTTTCTCACAAACTTTCATTAGTATTTCCTTTTAAACTTAATTCTTAAATGCTAAGTATAAGGGTACACTTTATTGCTTTCTTTTTTTGGACATTCTTCACGTTTTACTTTTTTCCTTTAACCCTTGCCTGCAAATGACGAAACACGAATGAGTTGGAGAGTAGGTTTGGAGGCAACTTCCCCTTGATAAGTCTGTCTCGCCTGCTGAACAGTCATTCACTTATGCATTTTAAAAAATTGCTTGGATTAATTTTAATTTGCTAAATTAGTGAATTTATTTTCATGGTTTTGGTTGCACTTGATTTGCTTATGCTTATGAATTTAAATGATGTTGTAGATTAGTTCGAGAATAAATCTTTAAATCTTTTTATGTTTACACATTTTTTAATAATTTAAAAAATTTTTGGCTTTAAATTTGCTTTTTTAATTTGGCTTTAATTTGCTTTTTTACTTTTATACGTGTTTGTTAAAAAAATTTTAATTTTTACTTTATTTGTATAATTTAATTTTTTTAGTTACTTAAAACTTTTAATACTTATAATTTATAATAACCACTATCATAATTACTCTCACTAAAGGGAAAAATTATTTTTCTGCATAAATCAATATGTAACACAAGGACATAATAACGACATTTTCATAACTGTTGCAAAAACGTAGAATATTGCGAACATTTAGGCTTCTTTAAGACGTCGTGATACGATGCTTTCACAACCAAAATATCACCTGCGAAAGACGCAATAACGACGTCTATGCGACAAAAACCTCATCTGGAAAGACGTAATAAAGACATCTTTACAACGGTTGCAAAACAGTGGATGTTCGCGGACATCTCGGCGTCTTAAAAACGACATATTGCAACGTTTTTGCAACGACATCCGCGACGAACGACGTTGCTCTGCTACTTGGGTAATTCTGGGAAAGGAAGTGAGGGTTGTTTATACCTGAAATTGTAGCTTTTATAGAGTTACTAGAGAAAATATTTCCTGTTTATCACATGCGTACGTGCAGAAAATTAGTTTGTTTTAATTCTATATTTGGAGATGAATATAAATTGGCAGGACGCGCGTCGTTGTTGACATGTTACATTAGCCTAACTATAGGATAGTTCGAAACTATTTACATGTATTACTATATAATGTAACAGTTTTAAAGTAAACTTTTTTTGCAGTATCATGATTTGCCTGTTATCACGCATATATTTTCGCAGAAAATTTTTAAATGTGAAACTATACGGCATGTAAATAGAAAATTATATATCCATTAAAATTTATAAAAAAATTATTGGGACATCTCTTTTGATGTAGCTCAAATAAATTTTATAAGTTATCCTTTAATTCTGATCATTAACATTTATAAAAAATTGAAAATTGCTTTTTATGATTAATACAAACAGAATAAAAGCTACACATAACTCAGTTGATGGTCAAAATTCACGATCTCATAATCATAAATAGTTTTGAGTAAAATGAATTTGAAAATGAATTACTAAATAAAATAGTATGCCCGGTTTTTCATACATTTAATCGAGAAAAAAATAACTGTCTTAGGAAAGAATAACAGAATAGAGTAATACTTACTGTCGTCTGATTGATTTGGCGCTTAGGTGAATTGGCTTGGCTGTACATGAAATGCGTTATATTCTGAGGAAACTGAGGGGGAGGACTTCTAATCAAATGCTGATGAATATCAATGTCTTTCCCACTGTCCAGGTGCCATTCGCTTCGGAGAAGAGCTTTTTCCGCTAAAGACTGAAAATCAGCACAAGACAAAAGCGTTTCTTCAGGCAAACTAAAACGCTCTAATTGTTTAAGGTACGGATTGTCTTGTCTTGAAAGATGTAAGGTCTCCAGATCTATTTTCAGGTTTTTCCTTCGCATGGTGGCAGCAGGTGATAGAAAAAGTGGATTGCCGTAGGACGTCTGTTTTTCCATGACTCCTGGAATACGGGAGCAACTCTCAGGCGCCAATGTATCATCTTCCTCCAATGACTGCTGGTCAGGTACATCAGTTGTGCTGCTAGTATCATTATCTTTGTTTCTTACAGATTTTTCAAGAGCTTCGCTATCTAATGACTGTTTTTTCTTACTGAAATAAAATGAATAATAAAGTTTGTAAGCGGTTTTTTTCATGTTCATTGCATAATATTATTGCTAGTCATAATACTTTAAGGAAGAGCTATGAGAAGAAACTTGTACCAAGAATTTTTGTAGTATGTGAATATCTACGGAAAATGAAAGAAAGACTCTCCAAAAATTTATGAGCTTTTCGGTACTAATCTACTGAACATATATCTAACTATATGTAAAATATGTACTAAACACATATCTATCATTAGAAATAGATGCATAGAAACTAAATATGGTAAAACGCCTTCAATTACATTATAACAGATACTAATTTTGCGGTTTTGCTGCTGAGGATGGTGGTTCGGTAAAACCATCGAAACTAGTCCTGTGAAAATTTTGAAAATATAACGCTGACTTTTGTTGTCTGACTTCTGAATTAGTATTTGTTCAGCGTGTTATTGCGTCTTAAGTATAACAGATGTTCAAATAAAGTACGCCTTCATACTACGAATACTACGATAATTTTGAAGTTATTTTCAGCGCCAAATTATTCATATAAAATCAAAATAATTCATTCTCTTGCAACTGAAATACCTGAATTATCATAAATTAATATTTTGGAAGACCATATATGAAAACGTTATTAAAAATTGCCACTCAAGCTACGTTTTTTCCTTTAAGATATCGTTTACATTAGAAAAAAATTAATTTAGATGGCCTGATTTCAAATTATCATTCTAGGTACCATAAAGTAGAATTTCTGTAACTAATGTTCAGTGTTAAACGGTCTTTGAATCGACATTTCTCGCAGCACATTTCTTTAAATAAAAGCTGATAATGTCCTATACATTTAATAATTATTTACAGAGGACGAATTATGCATGTATGATTCCTGTAGGAGCTTTAGCGGGATAAGGAAAAATTTGCCAATTAAAACTGTCTTTGACGCAAACCCGCGTAAAATATTTAATACCGTATATTTTTAATAAAATATATAACGTGCCCAAAATTATCATAATATGAAAATGAAGCCATATTTCTTCGATAATATATGCAAGAGATATGTAATCATGCAATCCTTTTGAAACACTTTGGGCATGAAAAATGCTTATAAGTTTTTATTTATAATTATTTTTCTTGATTGAAATGATAAAGCTCATTCTTATTTTATCATTGCAACCAAGAAAACTTTTGAAAAAAACTGAAAAAAAAACTAATGAAGCTTCATATCGGTATACTGAAACATTAAAACTTTACTACTAATTCAATGGTTAACAATCTTACGCGTAAATCTTTGTGTAATATCATTTACACATTTAACTGAATGTAACTATTTTCCATTAATTTATTGACAGTGAAATTTATAGTTATCATGTATACAGGTAGTTTTGTTGATAATGTCTGTGTATGAAAAATGATTACGTTCTTCAGAACTATAACTTAAACAGAGAGCGTTAAAGAATATTTCTATGAACTTCATAGATGGAAAATTGTTTGCAGGAAAACATTTAAAAATTTTAATGATAAAACCTGCTGTCAGTATGCCTTCTGTGAAACGTTTCAAGTAATATACAACAACATCTGGCATTTTATATTAATAAAAAATAGCATTTGAGGATTTCGTTTCGTTTGAAAGCTTAAGTTACCTGTTTCGAAGAAGTTTTAAATAAAATATTGCTTTTTATTTAGTGGCAAAGAAAGCCTTGTAGAAAAACATAATTTTGTTTTAGAACATCAATTTGTTTATAGCGCCACAAAGCATTCTTTCCTTATGAAGGTACTTTGCTTCAAAATTTTATAGTTCATAAAAAAGCTTTAAATAAATATGAAATTACTTTCATAATAACAAGATGTTCTTTAGAATATGATTTTAAGTATTCAGTTCAAATAAACGGCAAAATTCGTAACAATTTTATTGAAAAAAATCTTAATTTTTATTAAATATAGTACCAGTTAAGAGAACCAAAATAAGCCGTGAATATAAGAATGCCTAATTATAATATAAACTGCATACACGAGGTTTTAAAATAAGAAATGCTTGTGTTATAGATTTATAGGATAAACTCAGCTATGGCAAATAAGATATTAAAGCTATATTGTTTATTTTACTAAGTTTGTCACAAACAACTAAATATGAGGTGTGCTCGTTTTTATTTCTCGTAAGTGTACATGTTTTAGATGACATATAAATGTTTGACAAAATACACGAGTTACTTAATCCATTTTGAGCGAACTGCAGGAGGAAAGTAAGTAAGACAAAAAGAAATAAAAATAAAAGTATCTCCTCCCCCCCTAAAACAACGGTATCTAGATGACTCACGAAGTCAGTAAACTAAGTGAAAAAAGTAAACATACGAGTTGCTTAGATGTTTTAATTAAATGGAAAATCTAACCCATCACATATCAAAAACAATTTAAAAATATAATGTAAATTGAGCTAGAAGTTGCTTAAAGTGATATGAAAATAAATTTACCTTTTCTATAGTACCGTTTATACTTTAAATAAAATTAATAAAATGCCCAGACGCTTACTTCATGAAGAATAATAATGTAATGAATAATAATTTAATAAGAATAATGTAATAAAAATAATAATATAAATATGATTCCTCATTTGAATAAAACATTCCATGGAAAGATAAATATTTCGCATTAAACATTTTCTAAGTAAAGTATGTGAAGTTTTCAAATATATATTGATGGAGCCAAGCCATATGGGTAAAAGTTTAAAAACGTTTATCAACTAGCTATAAATTCAGCAGGCGTCAAAATTATGAAATGACTCAGATTTAAGAATGAAATCCGAAAAAACTGCCAAGGCATGCCAATAATGCTTTTAAAAGCAAAGCATGTAACTTATACGCTGAGTTTCGGATTCAATTAAGAAGACATATTTTTGCTTTCAACATTCATGTATTTGTTTCTTTTGTAAGGCTTTTCCACTGTCCAACAAAGCGGAGTAAAAAACTTTTCTTTTTTTAATTTCGATCGCCTACTTGTGAAAGAGTTGCCTTTTGTTATGAATGTTTAACTTGCAAAATTTCTACCAAATTAGATTTGATCAGTTGCTTCCGAAGTCTTCCTGAAAATTTCACCGTTCCATTAGTTACTTCAAGACAGCATATAAATATTCTACATCTCAGCTACGCGAAATATCAGAATTATAAATTTTAAATTAAGTTTTATGAGGTTATGAAGGTACATAGATCAAAGGTCCAGACGCCGATGTCAGTCGTATTGTGCTTGACACTGGATACTGGCATGTGGCGGCGTAGGTTTGCTTTGTTCAAATTGGACTCTAGTGGTTTTGTTCTTAATGTATTTCGTTCATTGTTTTGTGAAGACAGCGTTAGATCTGAGGCTTCAAATATCATCAAATGAAAATACCATCTCAATAATAATAAAAGTGTTTTTCATACCGAATTTCCAGCCAAAGCAGCGACTGAAGTTGCAATCCTCAAAAATCTTAGCAAATTTGCCATAAATTCTGACACCCGAGCAGATATTTTAGCGAGTAAGAATTCCTTTTCCACTTCTCCAACACTTTACGACTTAATACCTGCTTCACTATTAAACGAAAAAATTGAAATCGGTTGGATCAAAGGTTATCTTGGCCATTTTGGTTATGATCAAGCAGGCATATTAGACAAAGAAGCAGTTCTTAATCAAGACAGTACTGCAATTATACCTACCGTGGCCCTTTTCAAAATTCAAATGTGGACTACAACAACTTGTTTTAAAATATTAAAATTTAAGGCCAGAAGTGGTGGTCACTTTATTATGGAGGCACCAAATAAGTGGGTCACCTTTGCTTCCTATGAAGGGCCGGACAGTTTACAATCATGCCTCCTCGGAGATTCGAACCCAGGACCTTTGGTATCGCAGCCTGGCTCGCCAAACTGCTATACCGTCTGGGCGGCTTAAATCTGAAAGTAAATGTAAGCAATCCAATTTAAAGCGGCCACTCAAAATTCCGTATTTTTTTAATCTTGTGTGGATGTGGTGAACTTGCGTAATGATCAAACCCTATGTTTATTGATTTCAAAAACGCTGTTCGTCCTAGGGAGATAGTCACTAAGAAGGTTCACTGCAAGTATAAATTATTTCTAAGAAACAAAAAAAAAAAAAAAAAAAAGCTGCGTGAAGATTTTTGTGATTTTTCTAAAATATAATGTGCATATGAACCAGTTCCTGAGAATGTACTCCACAAAGGAATCCCACCCCTTAAGCAGGTAGCCGTAGTGTACTTCGGCATAATCTAATAAATCCAAACCCTACTGAAACATTATATAGCTGATTTTCGTCATAACTAACAAATCGACATTCAAGTAACTGACTTCACGCTGTGCATGAAAATTTTAATAACACTTTAAGAATAAACTGAAGCAAAACAAGAAATAATTTTCATTATAAGAATTAGATAAACAAAAGTGAAGAAAATAATCTCCCAATTAAGTTAGTAATTTTTTTATAGATAAGGTCATGCAGTTACCTACCTTCCTTTTTCTAATATTTTTTTAGATTATACTTTTCATGACAAATAACCAGTAAAAACTTTATAAAAAATAATTTATTAATGACCTTTGTTAGTTAACTATGTTGGTTTAAAATTCTGTTAAGTGCTATAAGTTGCAGTATTTTTCTATGCTTGAGCCTCCTTCGTACTTTTTCAGTAAAAATTTATTATTTAATAAAAAATATGAAAGTAAAAATTATCTTTCTTTCTATCTTGCGCCCTCAATTCATTATGGGAATATCCATTTACAGTTGTTAAAGCCTGAAAAATCATGCCTGCGATGTTATCGTCATGCGATGATTTGTAGATACATTATTTTTTACCACAATATTTTCGACGACGATGTTTTTAAACTGCGAAGTTTTTGAACAGCTTTACTTTCGACGACGATATTTTGTACCACGATGTTTAGAACTGCGATGTTTTCTCCCACGATGTTTTGTAGCACGACGTTTCCGCCTTGCGTTGTTTTCTCCGCGACGTTTTCGTCGGCGATGTTTTTG